AGTGGTAGAGCGCTTGCCTTGCATGCCTGAGGCCCTGGGTTCGATTCCTCAGCACCACATAAGCAAAAAGAAAAAAGCCGGAAGTGGCGCTGTGGCTCACATGGTAGAGTGCTAGCCTTGAGCTGAAGAGCTGAGGGACAGCGCCCAGGCCCAGAGTTCAGGTCCCACGACCGGACCCAAAAAAACCATAAAAACAAAACAAAACAAAAAAAATAAATAAAAACCCAAATTACTATTTTTAGGCTCCATTATCTACATCTTGCTCACTAAGTATATAGCACCAAGTAAATTTTTGCTTCTTCCTAAAATCAAATTCAGCAGCCAGGCACTAGTGCCTCATGCCTATAATCCTAGCTACTCAGAAAGCTAAGATTTGAGGATCAGGTTTGAAGCCAATCCATTAGACTCTTATATCCAATTAATTATCAAAAACTCTGGGGGTAAAGCTGTGGCTCAAGTGGTACAGCACCAGCCTAGAGTAAAAAAGCCAAGAGAAGTATAAGGCCCTTAGTTCAAGCCCCAGTATCAGCACAAAAATAAACAAAAAAATTATGTATTTACTGTACCAGTACTGGGGGGCTTGACCTAGAGGCCTGGGCAATGTCCCTTTGTCAGGCTTCAAACTTATCTTTCAAAAAGTAAGATGATGCCAGGTGATAATAGCTCACACTTGTAATCCTACCTATTCAGGAGGCTGAGATCTGAGGATTGTGGTTCAAAGCCAGGCAGGAAACTCCACAAGAATCTTATCTCCAATAAACTACTCAGCAAAAGCAGGAAACCGTGCTGTGGCTCAAATGGTAGAGCACCAGGCCTTAAGCAAAAAGAAGCTTAAGGACAGTACCCAGGTCCTGAGTCCCAGGCCCGCCCCCCCCTCCCCCAAAAAAAAGATGTTGCTGGGCATCAGTAGCTCACACCTACAACTAAGGATCGTGGTTCAAAGCTAGCCAGAACAGTAAAGTCTACGAGACTCTTACCTCCAGTTAATGACCAAAAAAGATGGAAGTAGAGCTGTGGCCCAAGTAATAGAGTACTAGCTTTGAGCAAAAGAAGCTCAGGGACAGGTTTGAAGTTCAAGCCCTGGGACTGGCACACATATACTCACTTACATAAAAAGATTTGCCACCTATGACAATATTCTAAAGAATGTGTATCAGCTCTAGTTATAATTTCAAATGAAAGGATCCAGAATATTTTAACTATCAATGGAACAGAATAGCAGCTGGAATGAAGAACATACACTACATTCTACCAAAGTGACTAGCTGAGAAAAGACTAACATCATTTGGGTGTGCTGGAGTACTGATATTGCTTTAAAAAATACATACATACATATATATATATATGTATGTATATATGTGTGTGTATGTACATATATATATATATATATATATATATATATATTACGCCTTTAATTTGTTCATGTAATTAATTCTCCATTGTCTTATTTCTTCATCAGTAAGAAGGGCTATAGGTCTTTATGTAGTTAAAGTTCAGTTTTGGTTTTTTTTCTGGTCAGTCACAGGGCTTGAACTCAGGGCCTGGGCACCATCCCTAAGCTTTTTCACTGAAGGCTAGTGCTCTACCACTTGGAGCCACAGCACCAGTTCTGGTTTTCTGGTGGTTAATTGGAGGCAAGAGTCTCATGGACTTTCCTACCTAAGCTGGCTCTGAACTGAAAATGCTCAGATCTCAACCACCTGAGTAGCTAGGATTACAGGAATTAGCCAATGGCGTGCAGCTAAGGTTTTTCCTTTATTAGTTCAAATCAATCCAGTTAGGACGTTTACCCAGAGTTTAACTGATTTTTAAGTGCACCCTGGAGAATTAATTTGTATGGCAAAATTCTGGCAACACAAACTTCCTTGCTGTCTGTGGTTATACACAGGTCAGAGAAGGAGGCAGGGGGATCTTACCTGTGGTGGAGGGAAGCGCTGTTGGGAATAGGCAGTTTGCTGGGACTGCTGAGATTGAGGCTGAGGATATGCAGCCTGCTGGGAGAGCGTCGAGGATGCTGGCTGCTGAGGTTGCTGCTGCTGGTAGGGAGACTGTGCCTGTGGCTGTGAGTAAGGGGGCTGGCTCTGGGGATGCTGCTGTGTTGTAGACTGCTGAGAAGGGTATGGAGTTGGGGATTGCTGATGTGAAGGCTGGGATGGCTGTTGGGAATATGGAGGTTGAGAAGACTGAAGCTGCGGTGGTTGAGACTGTGGCTGCTGCTGATATGAAGATTGGGCATGAGGGGTCTGGGATGGTGGTTGCTGGGAGTAAGGTGGCTGCTGCTGCTGGGGGTGGGGACTTTGCTGGTTGTAATATGGAGTCTGGCCCTGCTGACCATACCCGCTTGGGCCTTGTTGTCCATAAGGAGGAATCTGTGGAAAAGGAAAAAATTCTTTAGAACTGTCTCTCCTATCAGAAACTGTGCCTCCAGGATTTGTATAGAAAGCAGGCAATCATGCACATTGACAATTGTGAATTTTAACTTTTAATTTTCTGTTGTTAAAAGTTTTTGCATAGGGCTGAGAAGTGGCTCAGTGGTAGAGTGCTTGCCTTGCATGTATGAGGCCTGGGTTCGATTCCTCAGCACTGCATAAGCAGAAAAAAAAAAGTCAGAAGTGGTGCTGTGGCTCAAATGGTAGGGTATTAGCCTTGACTTGAAGAGCTGAGGGACACTGTCCAGGCCCAGAATTCAGGCCCCACAACCAAAAAAAAAAAAAGTTTCTGCAACACAATTTAATTTGAGGTTGGTATTCTGATGACTGGAGATGGTAGCATGGTTTTTAAGATGTTGACTCATTTCATTTTTTTTTAATTCTTTATTCTTTTATCATTCCATCCTATCTTAAGATTTTCTAGCACGTTTCTAAGAGTTTCAAAGGAAATAAATGATTCATAAGGAAAAAATTAAAAGGAGAGAAAAGCAAGCAAGCAGGCAAGCCAGTCCTCATAGTAAGAAGGTGCAGCATTCTTATACAAACTGTCTAAACTCTGCCAGGAAGAATGGCCAAAATTGGTAACTAGTTAGTAGACTACAGTCATTCATTGAAAATGTATGCTTTTTTCTTTTCTTTTTTTTTTTTTTTGGTTAGTCATGGGCCTTGAAGCCTGGGCCTGGGCCTGGGCCTGGGCGCTGTCCCTCAGCTCTTCAGCTCAAGGCTGAAGCCACAGCGCCATTTCCAGTTTTCTGGTGGTTAATTGGAGTTAAGAGTCTCATGGACATTCCTGCCCAGGCTGGCTTTGGACAGCGATCCTCAGATCTCAGCCTCCTAAGTATCTAGGATTATAGGCATGAGCCACTGGCGTCCAGCTAAAATGTATCCTATTTAATATTTGAGCAATTGACAGACGTTCAAGAATAAGATTTTTGCCAATGAGCTTATTCTTTTTTTAATCATGGCAAATTTTTTTTTCAGGGTTAAGACTTTGTATTCAAACCAAAATGGGGGGCTGGGAAGGTGGCTCAGTGGTAGAGCACTTGCCTTTCATACATGAGGCCCTGGGTTCGATTCCTCAGCACCATATAAGCAAAGAGAAAAAAGCCGGAAGTGGCACTGTGGCTCAAGTGGTAGAGTGCAAGCCTTGAGCTGAAGAGCTGAGAGACAGCGCCCAGGCCTAGAGTTTAAGCCCCACAACCGGACCCAAAAAAAAGAATCAAACCAAAATGGGTCAATATCAGCCTGGCTTAACTAATAACTAATCCAGATAATGTACAAAACACTAAGTTACTTTGATTTCTTCTTTTACTGAGTCTTCATTTAAAAACATTTAAGGGGGGGCTGGGAAGGTGGCTCAGTGGTAGAGTGCTTGCCTTGCATGCATGAGGCCCTGGGTTCGATTCCCCAGCACCACATAAGCAAAAAGAAA